TTTGTGTTTTTAATGTGCTTAAATGCACTTGTAATTAAAATTAATTTTCCATAATGTCTATGGAATTTTTGAATGACATGTTTGTTGTTGCTTGTAGTTAAGCGCAAAGCTATCTGGTCGCTGCCCACCACGGGCATCAAAACCCGGTTTCTAGCGATGTAACTCCGCAGACATACCGCCGTGCAACTGGGGGCTAACATGTTATGTGAGTAACTTGGGAAACTTCATCTTCATTCAATGTTTCGCTAATAATAGTTAAGTAATCTTTATTTCTTGTTAATTAAGTGATTAAATATCTATTTTTAATACATGTTGTTTTGTTAGTGAATTGGCGAAGGTTGATCTTTTTTCTTGTATTAAATTGTAGTTATATTACTCATTTTGTAAGTGTAGTTATTAATGCTTATTTCCATGCAATGAATGACCCGTAAGGAGTGGGAAAATCAACTTCTAAGTAATTTCAATGATCTAGTTTTCCCCTTTAGTTGGGAGCTTTTAGAATAAATCTGTTTATTCTTAAATATGAACGCATGTTTAATGTAAATCTCTAATTTCTTTGCCTAAATATCCAGTTGACCAGCAATAATATGATCACACAGTTGGCCTTTGTATAGAAGGTTATACCAATATAGGTGTATATAAACAAATATTTGATAAATTTAGAAAAATGGAATGTGCTTGTAAGAAAAACGATGTTAGGTTAATTTAATAGAAGATTACTTAATACGCCCTTAACAATATTTATCTATGAAATTGCCTGTTCGAATCTTTTAAATAGAAAGAAAATGTGATAAGTACTTATTTAAATATTCGACATCATTTAACTTCAGTTACAATTTAATCAATAAGTGCCAAAATCTTGCAGATACAAATTTAATGAAAGTTTGAAACAGCCATATTTAATCAATCGGGACCATATTTTTACTTATGTATTTTCAAAACTTTAGAGAATTTGCATTTTGCTATCAGTTAATTTCAATTTGGAACTCTTGAAAACAAGGATAACTTGTTTTACTGTTAATCGTTGTCGCATGAAAATTCTATTTTTATATATAATTAAACCTTTTGATTTTTTATGTAAATTTATGAGATCATATTTCTTTTTTTAATAAATTGTTTTTAAAAGTCTTCCATATCTAGCAAACAAATTTCGTGTTTCTAGAATAACATATTATTTCGAAAGCCGAGTGGTCTAGGGGTTAGAATTCTAAGGCTGGGAATAAAAGTATTCCCTAGTTCGTGTCCTGTTACGACCAAACAAAAAAAATAAAAGATCACGCTCAACACTTTGAGGCAGAAAAGCCTAAAATGTGTATTGGATGCTGTCGACTATCTGCTTTCTGTCTAGTCTTATCAGTTCAGAATTAAGGACGGCTATGCGCCGATAATCTCATCTAGTTTTGCGCGAAAATTTTAAAAAGATACTTGTTTTTTAAAATATTGACGACTGTTATGTTTTCTGGCTTATTGTGAAATCTCTTTTGTCCTCGATATATAAAACGCAAGATAAGATGCAATAGATGTCTAGCCAATGAAGAAAATTTTACTTTATTTAATTTTATATAGCCATTTAAACTATTTTGAAGTTGTGATGCTCAAATTTTGCATCTCTTAACTAACATTAACGAGTCATCATTATAAATCAAATGTCACTTGATAGGAAGAAAGATGTTTGTTTTCGACCAATCAACTCAATAAGTGATAGCGAGAGAAACACAGTTTGACGTCAAAAAATACCTATAATTTAATTAATATTATATCCAAAAAACAACAAACCATCCCCTTCTACGTTGAAATTATATTTAAGACAAATTATGTTTTAATTCCGTCTGTACGTTTATAACTCATAATGATAAAGCTACGAAGTATATTTATCTAATATATATATATTGGAGAAATATGTAATTTAAGATTAAGGATAAATATATATAAATTCCTTGTTAGACTTCTAAGAAAAAAAGCACACTGTATGCCAGTAAACATTTTAATAAATTTTTGAATTCTAAAAGAACAATATTTTAATGTTTTCCATTTTGGGGCATGTAAAACATAAAATATTATTTTTCGAAAAATATTTCATATTTTTTTGGCGCCACTTTAAATAGATAGAGATAAGAGGACAGAAGTTTGGTTTGTTTGGTTTGAATTTCGCGCAAAAATACACGAGGGCTATCTTCGCTAGCCGTTTTTAATTTAGCAGTGAAAGACTAGAGGGAAGGCAGCTAGTCATTACCACCCACCGCCAACTCTTGGGGTACCTTATTTACCAGCGAATAGTGGGGATTGACTGTAACATTATAACGCCTCCACGGCTGAAAGGGCGAACATGTTTGGTGGGACGGGGATTCGAACCACCTAGCAATGCCATGCCAAGGGGGGAAGTAGCAGTAATTATGTAATGATAGTTGGAACTGTGAAACCGTAAAAACCACTACTAAGGACAATAAAGAAAGTAAAAGGTATATTTTGTTGTACATTATTCAAGATTGAGGAAATACACTGCTTCTCTATAATATGAAGATAATGTATAATTACAATAAAAATTTAATCAAAATAAACAAATGAAAAGGAGAATATATTTGACAAGTTTCAACTAAATTATTTTCAATATGTTTTAATCTATTTAATTTGTACTAGCAGAGACCCGCACAACTTTCCGGCCAAATTAGTATCTTTATCGTAATAGTACTTCTTTAAATATAACATTTCTAGTACAATACAAACAAATTGTAATCGTAGACAACAAAACATGTAAATCCACTTGTATATAGGCCGTACTTTATGAAACGTTAATTTATATTAGGCCTAAGTTCGATAAAGAGATAAATTAACACTGTAACCTGTGTAAGTTTTGTACTTTAGTTTAGTTAGGACTAAACTTTACTGTACTTAATACTATCGATAAATAAACTTATGATGTTATTCTACGACCTAACGTCAAACCTTTGATAAGTTTTTAATATTCTGTTGTACATAATGGTTAGTAAAGTATATTCTCATTCTCCTTTTGTTGTTACTTCTTGTTTCATACAGCAATTGTAGCGATTTGATCACTGAAATGTGCGGCTCCCTGCCGCAGGCAGACTGTTTGTCGTCGAGTGAATAATGCGCATGCGCGGTTTTTCTTGGGGGAACATTCTAACTACGCATGCGTATGCAGCAGGTTCTTGGTCAGAAAGCGTAACGGTTGTACATACAAACAAGCAGAATAATAGTGTAGATGAGGATTGTATTTTATGTTTGCAGATTTCGAAAAAAATACGCATTTAATCTATGTTACTTATGTTTAGTTGAAAAACGGTAGTTGAATGTTTTATTATATTATATATATTATATTTGAAAATTATTCTTGCAGTAAAATACCGTATTCTATAGAAAGTACTTAAAGTAAACCCAAATGCGGGAAAGGACGTGTGATCCTACTTACCATAAGATGATGTTGGAAAGAATGTATACAGAATATTTCTCTTTCAGGTCTCCTGACATAAATAGTTTATTAGAATTCCACACGTACTTTATAGGACCCTCTAGAATCATCATATATAACAGTTATTTCGTTTTCTATTACTGGCAAGTGGTCATTCAGAGTTTATTGGATATTATGTTTGCTTCAGTAGATATTGCTGGCATTATCCTCCGGCTAGACATAGATGACATATTTTAACTGCATACTCAATACCACGTTAAAGAAAGACTTAAATACTGCTATGAATAGGTAGTTAGTTTTGTAAATTTTCTCAGTATCAACCACGCCTGTGTTATTCAAGGATTGTATATATATATATATGTATGTTACTAAATGTGTATTCCTTCTGAATATAAAAGTAATGTTAGACTAATATAACGGGCTTTAATAACTCGTATGTTAAAAACGTTGTCAAATTAGCATCATTGGCTTTTTCAAGAGCATCGTAGATTTGAAACCACGAGTGCATAATAACGTTTTTTAGGCTGACGTCATAGGTTTTTATAGCCTAGAGATGTTTGTCCACTGCAATTGTTAGACTGCACCAATATGTTCTCCCTTGTCTGAGGTATAAAAAATACGTAACGAACCAAGAAACATTAATACGCAGTAATTGATTTATACTTTGATCACAGAGTTATTACCTTTAATTAGCAAGCCTCATAGCTTTACGTGATCAACAACTTAGAACAATGATACTAATTCATCCCAATACGTTCAAGAAGTTCATGGTGTTAGTTGTGTTGAGTCTGGCCAGGACAGCCATGGTAAATATTCTGTTCTTATTTGATAGAATCTGGCCAGGACAGTCATGGTAAGTCTTCTGTGTTTATTTGATAGAATCTGGCCAGGACAGTCATGGTAAGTGTTCTGTGTTTATTTGATAGAATCTGGCCAGGACAGCCACGGTAAGTGTTCTGTGTTTATTTGATAGAATCTGGCCAAGACAGCCACGGTAAGTGTTCTGTGTTTATTTGATAGAATCTGGCCAGGACAGTCATGGTAAGTGTTCTGTGTTTATTTGATAGAATCTGGCCAGGACAGTCATGATAAGTGTTCTGTGTTTATTTGATAGAATCTGGCCAAGACAGCCACGGTAAGTGTTCTGTGTTTATTTGATTGAATCTGTCTTGGACTTCGAGATATTTAAGTGCCAAGAGCTAATTCAGTGAGGCCTAAATTGTACATTTATGATAAATACATAACGCTAATTGAAATAATTCTGACTTAGTGTTGAAACCCTTTAAACCTAACATCAATAGCACCAAGAATATTATCGATCGGTTTTTGGATTTACTTTTTCAACTTCATCCCACTTCTAAAGTTTATGCTCGGAGCTATAAGAGTGTACCAGCTGGCACGAATCAGGATTGTAATTCATATAATACTGTCGTTCGTAATTGGAAAGAAGCTCCGTTATTATACTGAATTTTCAAAAAATCCTTAAACTTATATTTTCTTATACTGCACAATCAAACTTGGAATAGACAATATACTTTTAGGTAATTTATTGATCATGTAATACTTTACTTACCGGACCCAGATTGATGAAACCGTTACGCTTGGCTACTTGATGTGCTACATCGTTCCCATGGTCACCGATCAGTCTGACTAAAAAAGAATTGGTGAAAACCTCTGGTGAGGCTGCTCCCAGTTCAATCAGGCCAGCTGAAAGTACGATCAAAACTGCAACAGCTGCTAGGCCTAACAGCATAGCGTGTGCTGGAGTACATGAGGTTTTACAGCTCGGCATAGCTTTTTCAAAAGAAGAGATTGAGCTTCAGCTTATCCCCTTCTTTCCAGTAGTGTTTTTATCAGAGCTGAAAGCCTTCGCTAACTGAGTGTCAGTGGACTGCTAGGTCCTAGTAACGAAGGGATGTCTTTCTAGCCTGTTTTATACTGTTAGGACCTGGTGTCGAAAGAGAATAATAATCTAATGTCAAACACAGACGAGAGTATTTCTTGATCGATATGGTCTGGTCCTCAAGCTTCGAATGTAAATATGCGCGTGCAGTAACGTCATGCAAACGTCACACTAACATGAAAGCCGAGGCTATTGATCGATATGCCGGTTACGTGTACCTGACTACAATGATTAACATTGGAGTTAATGTGCAGAAGAACACTCTTCCCCTATAACATGCTACAATATTTGTTTAGAAAAGATATTTACACTAGGGGTGTTAAGAATAGTAATTCCGTATGCTTGCTCCAACATACAATCACTGAGGCAGTTTTCTTGAATCCACTATTTACACGTCAAAAGAGAAGATTATTTTGCACTACAAGTGCTGAAAAAGAATTCGATTATTCACGATACACATGTTTGTGTGAATTATTACAACTTACGTACGAAAGAAATCTACATTTCTTAGTAAAAGTCGAACCAATTTTCAAAAGAACACAGATCATTTTCAGTTGTTTCTCTTTTGCTTTTTTAGATTTCGCGCAGAGCTACTTGAGAGATATCTGTGCTAGCTATCCCTAATTTACCAATGATAGACTAGTCAACACCACCTACCGCCAACTCTTGAGCTACTCTTTTACCAACGAATAATGGAATTGACAATCCAATTATAACGCCCTTCGACTAAATGGGCAAGCATGTTCAGTGACAGGAATTCGAACCCGCGACCCACAGATTGCGAGTCGAACTCCCTAACCAACAACCCATGCTCATCATATTCAGTATAATTAATAAAACTCTCATTCACACCTACTACCAAACATAAAATGCATAAAAAATAGAAATATATATATATATATATTTAGTATATAGTATTTTCATAGCTCCTCTGAAATGCTTGGTTAAGTTGCTGTAAGCCATAGACACTGGAATATTAACTAAAAGTTTAACTATGCAGAGAAAAATCCAGAGTAATATTTCTAAATTATCATCATAAATGAAAATCAGTTCTAATAAACTAGAAAATTTCAATTGGGAGAGACTAGTGAGAGTAAGTTGAAAGTATTCAACGAAGTATCGTAAAATAGTTAAAAAGTAATATTTTTTTCCATTTTCACTGATGAATAACATGACCGTCAAAAAAAAAAACATCACAATTTCACCTGTGAACCTTAAAGGATTATTATACCATTTAATCCGGTTTGGACAAATGTAGAAAATTTTACAATCTTTCATGAGCATATATGTGAGTAGAAATACAATCAAAGCGACTACCTTAGCCAAATTAGCATCTACATTCATAAGGATGTAATGTAATGGTAAAATTGCGTTTAATTTTTCATCATGTTAAATTAAAATCGAGCATGACACCCTGTAAAAGGTACTCCCTCGCAGAGCTGCTGTGTGTATTAGAAAAAGACCGAGGAAGTTTGTTGCTGTTTTCAGACAAGAATTAAAATTTCCAACCTGAATGGCACCTCGTGCGCTCGCGAGATAAATAGTCAGCGACTCGCAGGATTTAGATATATCAGTTTTGTGAAAGTTTTGTCCGGCTCTGTGAATCGAATAATGAGATTGAATGTCACTTTTATACCGCTTCACAGATGAAAGCGCGGAGTGTGCTCAGCATCATCTCGTCCTCAACCCTTTGATCCGTAGCCCGACACGTTAACCAGTAGGTCACGTCAGACCTTTCTCAAACAAATAAATAGAATAAAAAATGTATAGCTTACACCTTTACTTCTTTACTTATCAGTACAGAAAATACTAATAGACGTTATCTTACCTCGGAATGCACGTATCCTGATTTTTATTAGTAACACTGACATGACAGCTAGCTTACAGAAGTGTCGCGTGAGGGAGTTTTTTATTAGATTTGTTACGTCAAGATTTTATGTTGTATAACAAGAAATGTGCTCAAATCTTTTAGATGTCAATGAATTTCGGGATGCCAGAATACACAGTGAATTGATGCACATACACAAGTAATATCACAAGTCCTTATATTACTGCTAGATCGCTTCAACTTCGAAAGAAGGTATTAAACCTCACACACAATCCTGAAGGAGGAAGCAGTTCATAAGAACATTCCTTATTCTCAAAGATTGTTTACATAGAGGTCAACCATTCGCGAAACGATTTAACTCTCAAAGAGCGAAGCTTGATCCTTTGTGCTTTAACTGAGGCTTGATTATTTTTGATGGATTATCCTTGGTTCAACTACATGATTTATTCCCTGTGCTTTAACTGCAGGCTTGATAATTTTTGATAGATTCGCCTAGGTTCAACTACATGATTTATTCCCTGTGCTTTAACTGCAGGCTTGATTATTTTGATGGACTATCCTAGGTTCAACTACACGATTTATTCCCTGTGCTTTAACTGCAGGCTTGATTATTTTTGATGGGTTATCCTAGGTTCAACTACATGATTTATTCCCTGTGCTTTAACTGCAGGCTTGATTATTTTTGATGGATTCGCCTTGATTCAACACCGTAATTTATTCTCTGTGCTTTAACTGCAGGCTTGATTATTTTTGATGGATTATCCTTGGTTTAACTACATGATTTATCCCTGTGCTTTAACTGCAGGCTTGATCATTTTTGATAGATTCGCCTTGGTTCAACTACATGATTTATTTCCTGTGCTTTAACTGCAGGCTTGATTATTTTTGATGGATTCGCCTTGGTTCAACACCGTAATTTATTCTTTGTGTTTAACTGCAGGCTTGATTATTTTTGATGGATTCGCCTAGGTTCAACTACATGATTTATTTTTTGTGCTTTAATTGCAGGCTTGATTATTTTTGATGGATTATTCTTGGTTCAACTTCATGATTTATTCTCTCTGTCTTAACTACATCAGTTAAAGCACGGAGAATAAGAAATAATAAAGCCTGCAGTTAAAACACGAAGAATCAAACAAATAATTAAGCCTGTAGTTAAAGTACACAGAATCAAGCCTGCAGTCAAAGAACGAGGAATAAAATCAGGTTTGGTTTTCTCGCTCTCTAACTGCAGACTTGATTTTAAATGCTTTAGCTGTAGATTCTTCGTTCTTTAACTTCAAGCTTGATTCTTTGTTTTGTTTAACTGCATGCAGACTTGATTCTCTGTGTTTTACTCCATGTTTTAACTGTCACTATCCTAAGACTTTGCAGCAGGTTTGTACTGTCCTTAACTCGAGAATTAAATAGGTGCTCTTTAGCTGCTTAGAATCATCGACATAATTTGACAGGCCCCAACTTCCTGTAATTTGTGACTTCATTATTTATATAAATTATAACTGTCTAGAGAAAGCGAATTTACAGTATGGACGACAAGTGCCCCAGAGCCCGAAATATACAATCCAAAAATACTCATAAAAATGTCTGTAGTCTGAACAGAAATTATCTGTTGTGAGACGATTAATTTCACAAATTACAATGCCTGGAATATATGGTGTTACTCTTCGATCGTTCACTGTAATAAGTCTAACATTAAATAAAAATCGCTTTCAACAGCCCGAAATTTGAACTGTAATGCTTGAAATCGGCGACTTCATTTTATAGGCTAGGACCACCTATAGAGTTAGATACTTCGTTTTAGGATAAACAATTGTTTGACGAGCCACTTCATTTTATAGGCTAGGGCTACCTACAGAGTTAGATACTTCGTTTTAGGATAAACAACTGCTTGACGAGCCACTTAATTTTATAGGCTAGGGCCACCTACAGAGTTAGATACTTCGTTTTAGGATAAACAACTGTTTGACGAAATCTCATAAAGTCAAGTCGCTAACACCAGGCAGTTGCAGCTCATAAAATCTAGTTGATGATTCTGGTCAGTTGTATCCTGTACAACTCGTCGACTCCTAAAGATTGAATCCTTAAAATGAAGTGGCTCGTCAAGCAGTTGTTTATCCTAAAACGAAGTATCTTAATCTGTAGGTGGTCCTAGCCTATAAAATGAAGTGGCTCGTCAAGCAGTTGTTTATCCTAAAACGAAGTATCTAACTCTGTAGGTGGTCCTAGCCTATAAAATGAAGTGGCCCACCATTGATACAGCATAGATGTAGCTTTTTGTTTTAATAAGAAACAAACGACCAATTTGAAACCAAGTCGTTATGTCCAGACAGTTGAAATTCGTATAGTCTAATTCCAAGCAGTTGTAATCTGTGAAATCAAAAGTTATTAGTTGCTGTTCTATAATGTAAGACTCAGTGATTTTTGACATTTGAAGTTTGTGAAACTAATTTGGTCATTTTATGACATCATTGTTCCCAAGTGTTTGCTCCCGGAAAGTCATGTCGGTGATTCCAAACATTTGTAGTCCATAGCATGGTTCTTGGGAGTAAAACAGCTCGTAAAATCAACAAGTTGATTTGAAATTAAGTCGTCCTCCGACGGCTCAGCGGTACGTCTGAGGGCTAAATTCAGGTTTAGATACCCATAAAATCAAATTACTGTCTCTAGGTATTTGTATCCCGTAAAATCAGGTTACTGTGTCCAGGTGGTTGCATCCCGTAAAATCAAGTTACTGTATTCAACTGATTATATCCTGTAAAGTGAAATTACTGTCTCCATCTTACTGTAACTAAACCACCTAACGACAGTAACATGACTTTACAGAATGCAACCACCTAACGACAGTAACATGACTTTACAGAATGCAACCATCTAAGGACAGTAACATGACTTTACAGAATGCAACCACCTAACGACAGTAACATGACTTTACAGAATGCAACCACCTAAGGACAGTAACATGACTTTACAGAATGCAACCACCTAACGACAGTAACATGACTTTACAGAATGCAACCACCTAACGACAGTAACATGACTTTACAGAATGAAACCACCTAAGGACAGTAGCTTGATTTTAAGTAATGCAACCTGGAGTCTGCACTTCACAGGAGAATATTTTAAGTTACTTACTCTTCATTACCTGTTTTACGTGTTTTTTTTTTGTTATTAAATATATTTTTCGTACATTACTGTATATACATTATACCAGCGTTTCCCAAACTATGTTCCGTCCGAGATTGATAGGTGCT